AAACAAGCTATGTACAGGATAAATAAGTACTAATTTATAGAGGGAAGGTTCTGTAATTAAAAGGGATTGAGAAAAGTGTCCTATAGAAGATAGGATTTCTATTGGGACTTGAAGGAAGCCGGGGAAGCCAAGAGGTAGAGTTGAGGAAGGAGAGCATTTCAGATATGGGGGACAGCCAGAGAAAATGCTCAGGGGTGAGATAGAGTGTCAGATAGATTGTAGAGATAGAGCAAGGAGGTCATTTTTATTGGATCCAAGAGTATCTGTTAGGGGGTGAAGGAGGGTGTAAAGAGGACCTATACAACTTGGCAGTAGGTAGGGGCCAAAATTAAAATAAGCTAAACTTCTTCGAGCTACTGATAGGTTACACTAGAGACAGAATGACAGTGGTTGGTTGCCATGGGTCACTTGACAAACAGGAGAGTGCGCAGTGACAACGCTACATTTTTCAAGGGTCACCTGAAATCCTTTGGCAGGCTACAAGCAGTGGTGGGCTATCTGTTGTGCAGGCCTGGTGTAAAGTATAAGACTTGGAAAGGGAGGAGAAATGGGTTATGACAGGCTTTGAATGCTGAGTGGACAGTTTTGATTTTGATTTGATCTCTCCAATTTTTTGACCTGGATTTGGGTCTGAGCAACACTCTTGTGGGCTTGTGCCAATTGGAGTCCAAGTAAAATGCTATTGGACTCAGCCACTGTCAGGCAGCCAGAAAAATAAAATTGGTTCAGGGTGATTCAACTTCATGCTCCCTTTTAGTTGTGGATTTCTGCATTGCTTCCTCCACTGTGGCCTTCACACTGGGCTAGAAGCTAGAACCTGAACCTATTCTGCTCCTGGCATCAGAGAATCTCAGCTGCTACTTGTTTCTAAATTTATGCCTTTCTTGGTACACAGTCTAAAATGTGTAGTGACTCTTCATCCCAGAACACTTCCCCTAGGCATAGGTCCCCTCCTCAGACAGCCTGGAATCTGTGACCCACAACTGCATAGTGAACAACAATAAGCAGTCAGATCCAAAAATCCAAATCCAAACAAATCCCTATTCTGTGATGTTTGGATTCAGTCAAAGGGCCTCACTTGAGGACCTAGAGGGCCACAAGTGGCCTCGAGACCACAGCTTCCCCACTCCTGGTCTGGTGCATTTTCTTGATTTATATGGAGGAATTTTGGGTGAGAGCTTGGCTATGCTTCTTCCTGTTATGCTGTCATCTTGACTCCACTGTTGCTTTTCAGCCAAGTCTCTCTTAATCCAAACCTAACTCTTTTCATTATACAAATTTTGCATGTCAAAATTAGGACCAGCCTCACTGGTGTATACACTTGTTATTCATAATGATAATATTATTTACAAACATTTTGTTGGATGCAATACATAACAAAAACAAGCTTCTTATCTCTCCAGAGCTTTCATTTATCAAAGTTAAACAAAAGCAACCATGGAAGAATTTCATAATTGTAACTCCTTATCTTCTTTTCAAATGCATTGTTGTAGTCAAAAGCTTAAAGCTTTTGTCCTTGGAAATTTTTATTACTTTGATCTTCTGACCCCTCAGCATATAGGAAAACCTCATACAAAATGTGGATTAGGATCTTTTGATGTCCTTCATAGCTCATAGTTCGGTTCATAGCTCATGTTTGGGTCTTAAGTTTACTATGATTCTGTAGTTGAAAGGATTAGAAATCACAAGGTATCCATAGGAAGAACAATGAGCCCATGATGAAAGTATGAGGAATAGAGTGAAAAAAATTGGGATTCAAATATGCCTCCCATAACAAAAAGGTGTGCTTCAGAAAGGTAGTTTATAAACAGTTTAAAAATCATAAACTAATCTTTTTGTTCAGTCATTTTTCAGTCATGTGTGACTCTTTGTGAACCCATTTGGAGTTTTCTTGGCAAAGATACTGGAATGATTTTCCGTTTCCTTCTCCTACTCATTTTATAGATGAGGAAACTGAGGCAAACAGGGTTAAGTGACTTGCCCAGAGTCACACAGGTAGTAAGTGTCTGAGGCCAGTTTTGAACTTAGGAAGTTGAGTCTTCCTGATTCTAGGCCCAGCACTCTATCCACTGCATCACTTAACTGCCCAAACTAACCTTATTTTCCCATTTATTTCTATTATGCTATTAATGTCATGGCTGATAGGATCATAGATTTAGAGTTGGAAAGGACCTTAGAGATCATCTTGTCTAGTCCCCTTGTTGCCCTTATTTTAGAAATGAAAAGAATGAGACCCAGAGAGCTTGTATAGCTTACTCAAGGTCACACTGATACTGAGTTTCAGAGCTAGCATATGAGCCTGTCCCTGATAGAAAGGTTCAGTCCTTCAATTTATACTTCTGATTGCTTCTGAAGTTGCCAGTTGCCAGACTTGGGTATAGAGTACCCAACCCCCAAACTCAGGTGTTTTCTGGGAAAAGAATGTTCTGTAGCCCAGGTTTCAGCCCCCACTGAGGAAATATTTCCTCCTGGATTTTTACCTGCATTGAATGTATAGCATCAGGAGAAACTTCTGTAGAAAGATACATGAAATATTGACTGATATAACCAAATGGAATGGTACCAGCAGTTAGAAGATATACCTAGCATCCCATTGCTATGTATTCTTGGATATTTCTGATACTAGCATTGCCTTTAGGACTTGAGGAACTGTGAGATGAAGGCAGAATAATGGAGTTACTTCTTTTTCTAGGATCCAAATGGTTTGTAAGCCAAATATTTTTGCAGTTAAACTAAGCACTTTTTAAGAGAGTACACAACTTCCTTATTGATAGGTCCAAATGAGAAAGGTACAGATGTTTTAAAGAAACAGTTGCTTTCTCAAATTTAAAAATCCAAGAAGTTTCATTTTTTTGAGTGAAGGTAGCTTACTATACCTCAATCAATATACATTTATTCAATGCCTATAATGTTCTAGGCAATGTGCTAAGTGCTGGGGATACAAAAAAGAAGCAAAAAACAGTCCCTGCCCTTAAGGGGATTACAATCTAATAGAGGAGACCACATTCAAACAAATATATGCAAAGCAAACTATCTACAAGATAAATAGAAAATAATTGACAGAGGGAAGGCACTAAAATTAAGGTATTTGGGAAGGCTTCTGGTAAAAGATGGGCTTTTCATTGGGACTTAAAGAATGCCAGAGAGGTCAATAGTTGGAGTGGAGGAGGAGAGCATTCTAAGAATGAGGGACAGCCAGATAAAATGCCCCAGTACTGAGACTTGGAGTGTCTTGTTCATGGAACAGCTGGGAGGCCAGTGTCACTGGATCTAAGAATATATTTCAGAGAGTAAGATTTAAGAAAATTAGAAAGGTAGAAGGGGGCTACATTATGAAAGACTTTGATTGCCAAACAGTATTTTGTATTTTATCTTGGAAGCAATATGGAGCCACTGGAGTTTATTAGGTAGTGGGATGACATGATCAGATCTGCACTTTAGGAAAACCATGTCAGTAGCTGAATGAAGGATGGATTAGAGTGGGGAGAGACTTGAGGCAGGCAGATGCACCAGCAGGCTATTGCAATAATGCAAACTTGAGGTGATGAGGGCCTGCACTAGCGTGGTGACAGTGTCAGAGAAGAGAAGGAGACTTATTCAAGAGATGCAGCAAAGGTGAAATTGGCAGACCTTATCAAAAGATTGGATATGGGGCGAGGTATTGAGAGATAATGAGGAATCTGGGGTGACTTCTTGATTGTGAGCCTAAGAGACTGGGAGGATGACATTTCCTTCGATAGTAATAGTGATGATAAGGAAGAGAGGAGGGCTTAGGAGGAAAGATAATGAGTTCAGTTTTAGATATGTTGAGTTTTAAGATGCCTACTGGACTTCTAGTTTGAGATGTGAGAAAGGCAGGTAGAGAAACGAATTGAAGGTCAGCTAAGAATTTGGGGCAGGATAGAAAGATTTGAGAATCATCAACATAGAGATGGTAATTAAATCCAGGGGAGCTGATGAGATCCCCAAGTAAAGTAGTGTAGAGAGAGAAGAGTCCAGGCTATGGCCTACTATAAACTACACAGATGTAATCTGTTGTGCCATATTTCTTGACCTCCGGGAGTGACCAGATACCATGCTGGTTGTTGTTACTGTCATCGTTATTATTACTGCTAATAATAACCTACATTTACATAATACTTTAGGGTTTGCAGAGTTCTTTACATACGTTGTCTCTGTGATTTAAGTGCTATTATTATTTCCATTTTACAGATAAACTGAGGCTTAGAGAGGTTAGATGACTTTTCTAGGGTTACACAGCTAAAAATTAGGTTTTCCTGACTCCAGATCCAGTGCTTTATCCTCTACGTCATGTTTCCTTTTCAACAAATGACCAGTAATACCCAAATGAGTTTTCTGAAATGTAGAAAGGTGGCATGGCCAAGAGCATTGGTGTCAAACTCAAATAGAAACAGGGACCACTAAGCTGCATGCTGGGTTCTCCGTGAGTCTCATATTTACTTAGAATAATACATATCAACATTATTTATGTTCTATTGTATTTTTATTTATTTTGTTAAATATTTCCTAATTACATTTTAAGGTAGTACTGGGATGGGTCTACTGACTGTTGTGTGTTTGACACCTCTGATATGGAGGATAGACAACTAGCCTCAGAATCTCAGTGAGACCTGGGTTTGAGTCTTACCCCTCACACATAACTGCTGTATGACCCTGGGAAATTACTTAACATCTCAATGCCACTGGCAGCTCTAATGTTCCAAGTGGCTGAGCAGGTGTTCATCTGCTGTGTTAGAGGGAGCTCTCTATCAGGTACTCCCTACAACAATGAAATCATGGGTTTGCTTGAGAAAAACGGATTTGTACCTATCTTTGATATTGTTTGTTTGCTCTGGGTAATCTCATTTTGTTCATTAACTCATTATTCTAATTGACATTTTCTTCCTTCTTGCTGTAGCAGCCTATAAAGCCTAAGGCTGATATCCCTAGTACAATGTCTATTTACATTCCACTGTCTTTTTTTCATTTTCTCCACTCAGTTTGACAAAGGCTATGCTTACAACATCCGCCATAGCTATGGTAAGGAAGGCAAGAGAACAGACTACACGCCTTTCAGCTGCATGAAGATTATACTAACCAATCCACCGAGCCAAGGGGATTATCACGGTGAGTGCTTGTACCTGACATGTTGTAATGGATAGGAACTCAGGGACTCCCCAGGAAACTGAAGACGTGTAATGGCTTCCTGCATTACTCGCAAGAGCTGGTTTGTGGCTTATGTTACTTATCAGTGTCAAGCAAGGCTCTGTTACTCTTCTGTTGATTTGTCCTATTACCAAACTAGGTCAGGCAAGAGAAAGCCATTCAGCTGTATTTCTGTCTGTGCAGGACCAGGCTTTTTGGTGCTCTCTTTCTCCATTCACTAGCTGTTTTGTCTCTTTCTCTTAGTCTGTTAGGATGTCTCAAAAGACAGACACCAAAGTTTTTCGAAGTTTTGCCTTGAAACTATCAGGGAAAGTATTGCTGTTTAATTTTCAAAAGACTCATCCATCAGGAATAATGTGCATCTTATTCTCATGACTGTGATCTAATTAACAACCCTCGATTAATTGAGAAATTTAAGTGGCTCCTATTTATAAATGTTAATATAAATCACCCCAAATTTATTTTTTTAAAAGAGAAACTCTCATCTATAGACTTTGTGATCTATGATTTTTGTTTCCTAATCTAAGTTTCAAATTTTTCTCATAGAGATGAGTAAAGTTATTCTCTACTCTTGGATAATGAAGCATCATACACATAAGTGAATTTTCCACTGAAAAAGTTTTATTCTAACCATTTTTGATGGAAATCTTTGTAAAGTATGTTACAAATTTACTCGCCATCTCATTAATCAGAATATAATCTAAATTTCCCTTACAGTCTATGTAGTCTTATATGTTTAAATGATAGTCTTACATATCTAAACTTTCCTTTAGTCATGCTTATGAATATTAATTACATACTCTACAAGTGATACCCGTTGGTATGATCATTGACAGCTATTTTGCTGCTGTCAGTGTTTCTGCTTCTTGCAGCCTTTTAATTTCCTGCTTCTGCTCTGCTATGGGATACAGAACCAAATAACAAAGCCAAAATCAGAATAAAAGGTCCCTAAATGAGGTCCTGAAGGTCTTTCAGAGTAAAACCTCGGAGATAGTGTAGGGTCTTGGGCACGTATATTTGGACTGCCCAGAGGATTTTTGACTTACTCTCAGTTCTCTCTTTCATGCTTGTCATTCCTTGATAATTGATGTCGAGACAGATGTCATAATTCTACTTTTTGGGCCTCCAGTGTTTTCATCAAATCATAAGGTGACAGTGTTAGAAATGGAAGGCACCTTACAGGTCATCTGCTTCCATCCCTTCTTCATCGTGGTTTGAATGGCTAGAGGTCGTCTAGCCAGACTGGCCACTCAAAGCAGGCTTCTTCTCAGAAACATTCAAGCTCTCCTTGAATCCTTTTTGTGAGATAGGAAGCTGGATACTTTATAGGATGTCCCATTCTATTTATGGACAACCGTAATTGTTACAAAGCTCTTACCTAACCTGAGCAGAAATACATCTCTCTTTAATTTCCATATATTAGACCTTCTTTTGCTCTTTTAAGCTACATAGAACAAGCCTAATACTCCCACATGACAACCTGTTTCACAAGTAAACACACAGGTAACACCATTTGTTGGGCAGGAGAACACTGGAGGGCTCCTAACACTAATAGGTGTTCTAGCACAGGTTCAGTTTTGATCCAGTCAGACAGAAAGACAGCTTCAGAGGGGTTAAATAAGCTTACTTTATTCTAGTCTAGTCTTCTTAAGAGGGTTGCTGATAATGAGAGCACCAACTCCTACAGCATTCCTTAATCACACTTCTCGAGGGGGTGGGCGAGAATAGTACAATTCCTCATCTCATAAGCTTCATTGGGAGCTGGTTGAGGCAGACAGAGATTCCCCCCAAGCCTTGATGGGGGTTGATCAAGGCAGGTACATGCATTCTTCTATGTATTACCCAAATCCAAAAATGGGTGCTCCACTCACTGACCAGTGCCCACTTGATTTATAGGGCAATAGACAAAGAAGGCAATTTGCCAACATTAAGTTCACAGGTTAACTTTAGCAATATCGTCATGACCTAGCACAGTGCAGCCGTACATTATGTCATCCCTGTATCTCACTGTGCAAACATCGTGATGTTTAAAAACCATGACCATGAGAAATATTATCTATTTTGGCCATGTATCCTGGGACTATTATCTAAAAAGAATAACAAAATCCTCCTTACACACACTAAAATCCACCTTACTTATACAACCCTTTAGATATTTGAAAACAGGTATTAAGTTCCCCATAAATCTTTTTCTTTTCTGGACTAAACATTACCAATTTCCGCAGCTGCTCCTTATGTGACATCATTTTCAGACCCTTCACAATCCTGGTCTGAAGGTAAATTCATTTAGGTTAAAATCTCTCTTGAAATGTAGTACCCTGAAATGAACCCAACACATTAGTTATGGTCTGACTAGTGCAGAGTATACTGGTCCTATTATCTCTGCTACCATCAACAGTATATTTCTATTAATGTAACTAATTGCATGAACTTTATTAGCAACATTGCCACAGTTAGTTAATTAACTGTTATTGAGCTTATGGTCAAATAAAACCCCCTGTGTCTTTTTTTCACATAAACTTCTTTGTTTCTCCATCCTGTAATTGTGTAGTTGCTCTAAACGCTCGTGGCTCTACTTTTTATCCCTGTTAAATTTCATCTTCCTTGTTTTGTTTCATAAATCTAGCCTATAAAGATGTTTTTGAGTTTCGATTCTTCCATCCAGAATGTAAGCTATCTCTTTCATCTTTGTATCATGTGCAAGTTTTGACAAGCATGCATTCTATGCCTTTAAGTCATTTATAAAAAATAAGGAATGGAACCGACCAAGGGCTATGTATTTATACTACATGAGAGAGCTGTATGCTGTTGTAATCTTCAACAATTTTGGATACAGTTGCTCAGCTGGCATTTAATCTATCAGATTGTGCTTTCATCCAGCCCACTTCTTGCCATTAGTTCTCACCAGAATAGAATGAGAAGCTTTCTCGGATACCTTGATGAAGTTCTTATCATAGTACCCAGCACACAGTAGGTGCTTAATAAATGTTTATTGGTCGATTGAGTGAAGAGACACTATAGCTAAAAAATTTCCCAGTGTATCAGTTCAATGTGCCTTATTGAAAACCAAAATGAATTTGGTCTGGCATTGCTTGTTTATAATCTCATGATACCCTTTAGGAATCATGAAAAGAAACCACACTGCAAGAGCAGGATAATATTTATAGAAAAAAGATGAGTTTTTGCAGCAAATTGGCATGGGGTCGTTGAAAAAGTACTTCATAATTTCCTAAATCCAGTCCAGCACACTCTGTTCCTCCTCTTCAGTCAAAGGAAGATATTCTATGGAGAGTTTAGATGGAAGATTGATCCCATATAGATGGTGAGATTCTTCAGATGCTCCCATTTTTAAAAACTTGTACTGCTTCATATTACTTTATCTTTATATGTACATGTCCCATCTTTCTACCTAGGCTATAAGCCCCTTGAGGACAGGGACAAATGTCATGGCTGATTGTATATGTCTCCAACGCCCATCATACTCAACAAATGATGCTTGATGATCAGTTTTCTCATCTTAAAAGGAGGGGGTTAAACCAGAAGGCCTTCCAGGTGCCTTCCAGTTCTGAATCTATGATCCCTATAATCATTATTTTCTTTTCTAAAAGTTCACAGGAAATCACTCCATTTGTTTAATAATCCATTGTAGAATATTTCCAGACTAATTGAGTTATAGTTTCTAGAATCTTCTCCCCATCACCCTCCCTTTTGGAAAACGTTCTATTACCTCCCTGGTTTTCCACAGAGTCTAAACTTGAAAATTAATATTTGTAAACTGCTTAACAGAATGTCTGGCAAGTAGTAGGCACTATATAAATTGCTATTTCTTCTTCCTCCCCTTTCTAAAAGATTCCTGTGATTGAGGTGTGAGAAGAGATAGGTATCAGTAATATGATCCTATCTGTAAAATTTCTCAGTACCCTTGGATGTAACTTACCTGTGCTTCAATATTTCAAGTCATTGAAAGTGAATATAACCCTCCTACTCTCAAAAATCATAGTCTTTAGGTCTCTTATAGCAATGTTTGACCCTTTCCAATTTAATCATCATTGTCCATGATGAAGGCAAATACAGAAATTAAGTAGATCTACCATTGCTGTCATCTGATATCATACCATTTGCACCAAGCAGTGGGTTATCATTTTCTGAACATAACTAAAAAACAAAAATAAAAAAAAAAACCCTTCCTTCTGTAGTCTGCAGCATTTTTTAAAAGCCTCTTGCTATTTCTAGACTTTAGTTGTCCTGACAGCATAGAGAGGCAGCATAATGTAGTGGAAAGAAGGTTGGATTCGGACCCAGAGGACCTGAATTTAAATCTTAGATGTGCCTAGGGCAGTTTGGTGGTGCAGTGCTGGGCCTAGAGTCAGGAAGACTCACCTTCCTGAGTTCAAATCTGGTCTCAGACACTTAATAGCTATGTGACCCTATGTAAGTCACTTAACCCTGTTTGCCTCAGTTTCCTCATCTGTAAAGTGACCTGGAGAAGGGAATGGCAAACCACTCCAGAATCTCTGCCAAGAAAACCTTAAATGGGGTCACAGAGACTCAGACAGGACAGAAAAATGACCAAACAACAACAATCTGCCACTTACCCTCTGTTTGAGCTTAAGGAAATCATCTAATCTTTCTAGGCTTCGGATTTCTCTGTAAAATGAAGGAGTCAGACAAGTTGACCTCTAAGATCCCTTCCAACTCTTTATTTATGATCATATCCTATGAGCGTTATTTCAATTTATACCACTTAACTTGCATGTATCTTCTTAAAAAAAAGATCTAGGCTTATCAAAGAGTTGCCTGGTTTTAGATATCTCCCTCTGTTCTTCATTGGATCCATTTGTGAATGTGCAATCAGATTATTTCAGAGCAATTCTTACTTAAAATCCTAATAATCCCAGCTTGAATAATAAAAGAAAAATGATAAATATAAGAATGAAGTCTATAAACTTTTATATACCTCACAGGTAGTTTTGTCCTCATAGTCCTATTCTGAACTTGCTCATTTATAATTAAGATTATTTGGAAAAGCAAGTGGTGTCCTGGGCTATTTATTATTTCAGCAATAACCACCATCCTCTCTCTCTTCCAAATAAAAATATGGAACTAGACATCCAGTTTAATAATTTTTATTATAACTAATGAGTTGGGTTTAATTCAAGGTACTACATTTCAAGAGAGACTTTACCTAAACATAGTACCTCAGATGTCATGGTCCTTTTCTAGAACAAAGGACAAACAACAACAACAACCTTCAGACCAGGGTGGCAAAGAGTGTAAAAATCATGTCATATAAGAAGCAGTTGCAGGAATTCACAATATTTAGTCCAGAAAAGAAAAAAAAACTTAATTGGGGAACTTAATTGTTGTTGTTCAGTCGTTTTAGTCGTGTCCAACTCTTTATGACTCCATTTGGGGTTTTCTTGGTAAAGATACTGGAGGGGTTTGCCATTTCCTTTTCCAGCTCATTTTACAAATGAGGAAACTGAAGAACTAGCAGAAACTTAATACCTGCTTTCAATTATCTAAAGGCTTGTCATATGGAAGAGGAATTAGACTTGTCCTGTGTAGCTCAAAAGAGCAAAAGTAGGTCTTATATATTTTAATCTAATATATTTTTGTTAGTTTTTATATTTTATATTGTATTTTATGTTATAAATTCATTGTTTTTCTTTCATTTTTCAGAGTGTAGAATAATTTTTAAAGTATTTTACTCACCATTTTATATTATATTAAAAGTTTTCAAACTTCTACAATTGCTTCTATATTGCTTAAGTTTTTTTTTTTATGTAATATATATATAGGAGCCCACATTTACTTATTTTTTCCTGTGAAATAATATAGATCCCTATGATCCTGTATGTATGAACTTTAAAAGTTTTCTTAATTTGCAGCTTGTTTACTAAATTTAGTAGCTATTATTAGTATTAATACCAGTAATAGTAGTCCCTGTTTACCTCCCAGTTAGCAATTTCCAATTCCTTATCAACTCTCAGTTTTGTTATAGTTTTGGATATACAGGTAATAAATGTAATCTTTGCAGAAAATGTTTGGGTATAAATCCCCTCATATTTGCTTCCCCCAATTAGGTAGAAAGATGATATATTTGTGGGTGGGGCAGAGTGTATGTTTTGGTGTAGAATTTTTTTTAATAATTGGTGGAATTTAGCAGTTTAGGGCATGGTTATAGCTATATTGTGATTATCTCTCTGCTTGTTAGCTAAGAACCTAATTAAAACTGTTTTCCTCTTCTGAAAAGGAAATCTCAACCTACTTGTGTTGTTATGCTTTATGTAACTCTTGAGCCTGCATTGCCCTGATAACCGTATAGTTGGAGTGTTTATTTAAAAAAAATAAAGTAAAAGAGGAAAGCAGTCACACACACGGGTAATTAACTTTTTTATTAATAAGCTGTTAGACAATTAAGAAGAGCTTAGTCAGTCTCTCGAGTGTATTATTGTGCTAACTCCTGGGTAAATAGCCTCATTTGTGCGCTTGCTGGTGTTTTTGGCTGTCAGGGTGCCCATTCCGCCACAGTGATCCCGAGCTGTTGAAGCAGAGGCTCCAGTCATCCAAGATCTCTCAAACCGGGATAAACCAGGTAGGTCGGATTCTGTTCCAAGGCCTTGGTAATGAGGCATCAGACTCTTCCTTTCAGTTTCATTTAATATCCTCACCCTAATATTCCATGCAACTTGTCAGGCGGACTGCCAGATTGCCTGTCTTTTAGATGAATTAAGCCAAAGCACTAACTTTTCTAGTTTTAATCCCCCATTGAAAATTCTGGTTCTTCGGTCTGCTGGGTGGCATTTATACCCCCTTTTGGCTTGGTGATGGAACAAACTTTGAAACATGTGCATGCATATGTGCACATGTTCATGCAAGTCCACATTGGCACTTGTATTTGTTTCTTCAGTTTTTCATTCCGAGAAGTGGTGCCACTTAAAAAAAAATTTTTTTTGAATAGTCTATTAATGCTTGCTAATGAAGCTGAAAATTAATGACAACATTTTTCATCTTGGGAAAAATTTTTTTTTAATGTCGTCGGTGTTGCAGAACCCAGGATAATGTGGGGCGTGCTGACTGACTATTTTGATAAGCATCACTTGTCATGTCACACTATTTAATCTAAAATTCTGTTAATAGATCATTAGACCTAACACTTTGTTTTACAGACAGTTGCAGGGAAAAGAATGCCTAGAAATGTGAAAGTCAGTGTTGTGAATATCTTCCAGTACTTTTAAATAAAATAAAGCTGCTTTGTCAGAAAAATAATCCTGAATATACTAACGTGGTATACTGTCTTCTATGCTGTTGTATTGGCTGGGGTGTCAAGGGAGCTAGATAACATTCTAACCTGGAATAAAACAAGGTGAATGTCACAGCTGGAGTCCAAAAACCATCATGCATCTTTATAGGATTGGATTTATTTTAGAATTCTAATCACCAAAGAAGACCCTTTGCCTTTTACAATGAAAACTCAGATTTGGTTTCATCCGTGGTTGATCGTTCCTCTTTCCCTATTTAGCCTCTTGTTTAAGATGTTGCTTACATTCCTACTGAGCTGATTGGTGTTGATGCTTAATATATATACCAATCACCCCCATTTAAGTGCTTAATAAATACTTGTTAATTAATAACTACCTAAATAGTAATACAGATTTCACTTACTCTTCCTTCCTTTCTTTACTCTGTGTTTCTAGCAAATATCTTTAGCTATCAAATATAAGTTCCTTGAGGGTAGGGACTATTTAATTTTTGATCTTGTGTCCCCAGAACATAATACTGTACTTGTAACATGCATAGTAGAGGCTTGATTTATTGATTGATTGAAATTTTTTACATGTTTGAGGTGGGTTAACAACTCATTCACCATACCTCTTTTGTTGTTGTTGAGTCGTTTTAGTCGTGCCTGACTCTTCATGACCCCATTTGGGCTTTTCTTGGCAAAGATACTGGAGTGATTTGCCATTTCCTTCTCCAGCTCATTTTACAGATGAGAAAACCAATGCATACAAGGTTAAATTACTTGCCCAGGGTCATACAGCTAGGAAGTATCTAAGGCTGGATTTGAACTCAGAAAGAGAAGTCTTCCAGATTCTAAACCCAGTGCTCTATCTGCTGGGCTACCTTCCTGCCCTGATCGTACCTGTAGGCCTAGATTTTAATTGTATTTCTAAAATGACCCTGGACGTGTAGTTCATGGGTAATCAGCAATTAATAATACTTTTGCTTTTGTTGAGTACCTTTAGTGAATAGCTCCCTGCAGGATGAAATATGGTAGCTGCTGTAGTCTGTTCTAAAGGGGAGTATGTTGGTGAATGAACGGTCCATGTACAAGCATTTTGACAAGTGTGCATTTAGATCTTTCCATTATGAGTGCTTTTAAATATTTTATTGTTTAAAAGTCATAAAAAATTCCCTACTGAAATGCTTCCAAGGTAAAACTCTGTAACCATTTATTGATATTTTATGGTCAGAACCTCTTGGTGAAGATTTCTTTATCTTTTTGAAATAGCTGGAAATATGTCAAATAATCAGAATTCTGGTACTGGAATGTATGTTGAGACAGGCAAGGCAGTGGAAGTTGGATTTGATCCACATTGTATCATGCTGGCCATGACCACATTTGCCCCTTTTATTTTCACCTTTGCTTCCCTTGATGGTGATAACTTTTATATCCCTTTTAATAATTTATAGGGTGTTACTTTTTGGTGAGACTTCAAAGGCAACAACACCAGAAAGAGCTAGGGTTTCCTTTCCATTTGCCCACTTAAAGGTCACTCTGATTATTTCCTGGAGCCAAAATGTAGGTAGAGAACATGGCTAAAGAAAATGTGGTATTTGCTTTGTGTCTTATGTTCCAGTAGAAAGTTTCATGGTGAGTGTGAACAGGCTATTATCCTTCATTTATTTATTTATTTTTAAGGCAATTGGGGTTAAGTGACTTGGCCAGGGTCACACAGCTAGTAAGTGTCAAGTGTTTGATCTGAGGCCGGATTTGAACTCAGGTCCTCCTGACTTCAGGGCCAGTGCTGTATCCACTGAGCCACCTAGCTGCCCCTGAACAGGCTATTATAATAGGATATATGTGAATAGGAATTATAAAGGAAAAGCATAGTATAGGATGATATCAAAGAAATGTATGAACAAAAAAGGAAGATGGACTGATCATGTGAAGAGAGCATTGGATGGATTACCTGGGCAATATGTTCATACTCTCTCATTATCAAAAGTTGTGAAAGACCCCTACTACCTTGATGAACTTATGGAAGGACATAGACAACAGTTGCACAGGATAGGCAGGAATAGGTAAATTATGATCTTCATCATTCTCGGAAGGACTACCCCGATCCATTAAATCACAGGCCCATTTGAGTATCTGAAGAGTATTGTAGTTATCTCTTAACTCCACAATTAGATTGTAAGTTCCAAGAATTCATAGTCTACTTTAAAAAAAGATTTTAAAAAAGCTTTTCTCTTCTATCCAGTGGCTAACCAAGCCTACATGTGTGATGAGTACTTAGCAAATATTAATTGAATAAATTAATTAGCAATATGTGCAAAGGCATTTAGGATTATATACCACACATACATTTTAGATACTACATTTATATCTTGGGAAAATTTGTAGCTTGGGAAAATGGGAGCTTGAGTAGATAATTATATGACCTCTGAGATTCCTTTCAATTCTGTTGCCCATCTTTTGAGGGTCAAAGATGTGGAGGTGAGGAATATAGGAACTAATGGCCAGGCATGATTCCAAGAGGCAATCTGGGATTTCCTTCCCATTTCTTTCTGGGTAGCCCTGGCTGCTTAAACTTTTGGGGAAGGCAGTCAAGAGCTCATGGGATGGGTCTTTGGTCAGCTCAGTGCTATTCCAGAGCCAGGACCTAGAGTTAGCCAAAGAGGAGATCTGGATGATAATGCCATGTCCTGTGTATTCTGCCTAGAGATACTTTTCTGACTGAGCCCCTGAATTCAGTCCTGCATTATCAAGGTTGCCTTTTTGTAGGCAATCAACACCTATTTTGTGCCATCCATTGTGCTAGGTCCTGGGGGACATTAAGGCACAAATCTAGCATTCCCTGCCTTCAAAGAGCTTACATTCTGCATGAAGAAACATGCTTTAGAATTATAAAGAAAAAGTTTGGACCCATAATGGCATCAGAAGATTATGACCAACAAATAAATAGCTCACATTAATATTGGAATATTTGCATAATGCATTACAGTATTATTTTACACTATAATACCATGCCTTAAAAAGTGCTTTTCTCAAAACTCTTAGAAAGTTGGTATTTTAAATATTATTATCTGCATTTTGCAGATGTGGAAATTGAATCTCAGAAAGTCTAAGGGGCTTGCCCAGCTTCACAGAACTAAAAGTGGCAGAGCCAGGATTTTAACTGTATCAGTGACATTGCTTTTTTCCATGATAACACACTGCCTTTTTAAAAACAGACAATATGAAAGTTTCAATGCCTTTTGTTGTTGATGTACACAGTGTTACAGAATGTCAAAGACAGACCATCAGTGACCAGCCAGCATAACCCATACTTGAACTGGAACTTCCTTCAATAGTATCCCTGATGAATGGTCACTCAGCCTTATCTTAGAGATATCTAATGACGGGGAGCCCATTACCTTCTGCAGTAGCGCATTCCACTTGTTTTTCCTTATGTCAAGCCTGAATTTATCTTTTCTCCATTGGTTCTGTTTTGTCTTTTTATACAAGTAGAATAAAACTTTTCTTTTTCCTTTGGGAAGAGATATTAATAACCCTTCAGGTTATTACAAGGGATAGTTTGCTAGGCAGGGGAGTAGGAAGAGATATATTCAGAAATGAAGGCGGTTTAAAAACAAAATATCAATAAAAATAAGATTACTAAAAAAAGAAAAAGACTTATCTGTAGCCCCTCATAGATTTTAAAACAGTTATAATATCTTTTCTTTATCTGCTCCTTTCCAAACTAAAAATCTCCATAGTCCCTTCATGTTCTTCAATCCCCTCACTGTTCTGGTCTCCTCATCATCTTATGAAGAAGTGTCTGGGTTGTTTTTCAAATCATACCTTCGTAATAGTACCTTCAGCACGTCTCCTGGTGAATATATGTGTGTGTGTGTGTGTGTGTGTGTGTGTGTGTGTGTGTGTGTGTGTGCATATACATTAAATATATATATATATATATTCGCTCTGCTTCTTCATTCCCAGATTTCTTCCAGCACCTGTATTTTTCCTTTGATGTATTTCTCCATGTCTGCTCTCTCACCTCTTTTCTCAATCTTTGTTGCTTATTTTCTTTAGGACCATGAAACCAGCTACTCAATGCCTTATAAACCTAATACGCTGGTTTTTTAATTTTTTTTATCATCTTTAAAATTTCAATTCAAACAAACATTTATTTACTATGTGCTTATGTGTGTTGTATGCAATTAAATTCTAATCAAATCCAGTGAGGTATAAAGTAAGACAACTTGCTTATTAAAATGGCAGAGATGATTGTGTTGGTGCTGGTGATACAGAGACAAAAATGAAACAGTGTCTTTCCTAAGAAAGCTCTCATTCTCCTGGAAAATAAATGAATAAAAATGTTTAAG